TCTGCCTTTCTTGAGAGATATAAAACATATATGTTTATTAACGAATTCACGTGAAATAAACATTGTTCTGAGAGAGAGTTGCTCGGTCGATCAATCTGTCCGGGGTTAAAGCTCGGCTATTATAAAAGTACACGTATCTTCGCTTTAAATTTAAATATGCCCATGGTAAGGTATTTAGAATGAAGCTTATATTTCTATCTTTCTTGTGACATATAAAACTCTTACGTATATTAAGGAATCTGTGTGAAATAGGCATGGTTCTGAGATGAATGCTGCGGTTTTCGAGCTCGACGCACGGCAATGGACGCCTTAAACATCCAGTGGGTGTTATTGGACCCTATACCCATTTTATTTGTGGTTGGAGACCCATACCCATTCTATGGGTGGTTGGAGCCCCATACCCATCCTGTGGGTTGTAGTGGACGCCATACTCATCCTGTGGGTGGTATTGGACCCCATACCCTTCCTGTGGGTGGATGTGATCCCCATACTCATCCTGTGGGTGGATGTGACCCTCATACCCATCCTGTGGGTGGTATTGGACCCCTTTCCCACCTAACAGGCGGTAGGTGACAATATACCCATCCTAGCTATAGTTGGTATAGTAGACACAATACCGTCCTGTTTGCAGTAGTTTACCCCATAGCCATTCAAATGTAACATCGTTTTCTGTTAGCGTTCCTACAAAACATTCTTTAAAGATTTTTAAAGCCAAACTATGGTATATAATATTGATTGGTGAAGCACTGTTATTCTATGTAATAATTTATAGTGCTTATTATAATTTACTAAGAACAACTAATATTTCTCAAAACAAAACTACGAGCCTTCAATAGGATATAGCTGATCTGTAATATTATAAGAGCATGGACAACAGTAGGTAAATTTCACAACCCATGTGGGACCTGAAAACTACAATTTTCCTTATAATTGAACCAATCACGAATATTCTGCTATCTATGTTGACGGACGGGTACTGTGACACGTAAATTGGTACGTGAGGAAGAGTTTGGGCCTTGGTAAAAAAAGTAACTGGGAATATATCACATATTTACTAATTCATATTCAACAAATTGACTTTAAGCATTAAGTCATATATGTGCTGTCTTGTGTGAGAACGGGTTGCCCTCCCCGGGAGGGGGACGGGGGGAGCCCCAGACCCCACCGTCGGCGACGGTGGTGTCCAACCATTAGTTCTCAGGCTGATGGGATCTGGTGTGGTCGTGCCTCTGGCTCCTGTTTGCAGTTGCAGTTCTGTGCCTTGTGGTATGAGCTGTCTCTTCCGGTGGTGTGTGGGCCAGGAGTATTATTCCACGGTGCTCGGGCTGCATGCTCCTAGGGTTATCTTCCCTAGGTGCCCTGTAAGTACTGCCCTTGGGGCTTAGGGCCACTTTCCCTGGGTCGCCTTGGGGTCTACCTCAGCTGTGCCATGTACTGCTCGGTACTTGTCCGCCCTTGGGGTCAGCTGGGGGTTTTTCTTGCCCTTGTTTGTCTCTGGGTAGGTGGTAGTTTTCGTCACTGGTAGGGGCGCGGGGTACTGCACAGCTAGTTTTCACCATTAACAGCAGCCGGCTCAGTTCCGCCTGGGTACATTGTCCTCTTGCAGGGTTTTTCTTTTGTTTTTGTTTTCACCTGGTGTGGGGGGGGTCTGCCTGTTTGGTCCCCCATCGCTGTTCCTGGGGTTGTCTCATTCTTGTTGTGTTGGTGGTCCTCCCCGCTTGGCCCCCACGAGTGTACACGTCCTGGGGGTTCAGCTATAGCAGTTTGTTTGGTAGTTTTGGGTGCTGGTTCGCAGTACCCTGCCTGAGCTTCCGTTAGCGAGTTACCATGGCTTAGGGCCCTGGAAAACCCCATGGGGGTCTACGTGGTCCGATGGATGTGACCCCTGAGTCCCTCCTCGCGTCCTACAAGTTTGAAGGTTGCTCTGTTCCCTTGTCTCAGGGGAACACTCACCGGTTTTGCCTCCGCCATGCTGCCTGTTGGGTCAGTGATTGTTTTGACCCGGAGTCGTGCGACGTGTGTTGTCTGTACGTTCTCCAGTTCACTCAGGCTACTGCGCCTGATATGCGGGTGAGGGCAGCTGAGGCGTTGCATGCTCGCTTTAGGTTGCTGCAGCACGCTAGGCTAATTGCTGCCCCGGATGCCCCGAGACTGCCCCGTTTTGATTATAGGAACCCGGACTTTGGGGTGGGAGTCACTTCGGCTCTGGTTCCGTCCGCCCCCTCCGAGTCCTTCCCCTTCTGTTGCCCGTTCGGTCCCCCCCCCCCTTGCTTCCGGTTCCTAAACGGCTGAGGGTTTCGGAGCCGGGGCTGGGTTTAGTTGGTTGTGAGACTCGGGCAGTCACAGGGGTGTCTCCTTCTGGGGCGGTGGCAGAGGCATTTGAGCCTGGTCCTTCTGCCGAAGCTTCTGGGTCTGGCCAGTGAGCCCCCCTTGTTCCTGCTTTTTCGGCTGCTCCCACCTTTTCTTTGGAGGTGGGGGCTCAGGAGGACGGCTCAGCCCTGGGCCCTCTGGGCGAGGTTCCTGGGGTTGGGGGGGTTAGCTTGGGGGCCTTGGGCCCCATTGGACCCCACCTGGGTTTTTCTATCCTCTGAGCAGGGCTTGGTGTTACAAGGAGAGGGGTTCTCTTTTGCTCCCTCCACATACGAATTGGATTTGGTGTCCACCCCTCCCCGGGTTCGGTTCTGTCTTTCCAGAGGGTTCCGGCTTCCCATGTTTCGTCTTCGGAGGTGCGGGAGGCCTTGGCTGCTTACCTCTTGCGTGACCCGGATTATGCCTTCATGCTGGATCCGCGTTCCTTCGTGTACAGATCCCCTGGTTCGTGCTGGTTTCGTTATGAAGTTCCGGAGTCATCCTGGTTGGCAGACTGTCCTCTCTTTTTGTTGGAGGCTTGGCACACGTTCTGTCGGTCCCACGCGCTTGAGTGGCGAGAGATTTCTTCGGCGTTGCAGGTTTTCTTTTGGGGGCGCTTTCGAGCATCTAAATGCTTGTTTGTTCGCCCCTGCCCTTCCGCGGGATGTTGGTGTCGTGCAGCTTCACGTGCAGGTTCCTTCCCTCTCGACTGCCTTGATTGCGGAGGATTTGCGGACTCGTGGCCTGCTTGCTTCGGCTCTGCTTTTCTTTTTCCTCCTTGAGCTGTCTTCGGATTGACTCGAGTTGGATGTGGGAGCGCTTGGGGCCTCTGCCGGGTCTGGTGCGCTGCCCTCTGCTGTGCAGGCGTCATCTGCTTTGTTGAAGCTCTTCGCGCCCATCCTGCGTGATGCGGTTTCGCGGTTCTATGCTTCTCGTTTTGTGTGTCGTTTGTTGTGTAAAAATGGCGACTGTCACCCGGAGACAAGGGAACAGCAACCAACGATCCCGTACAAGACGGGTTGGAACCCGGAAGACACATTCAATGGACCCCCGAGCCCAGACAGGGGTTTCCAGGGCCCGTAGGGTAACAACTACGGGAAGCCCGGGCAAGGTGTTACTAACCGGTTAAGAAACCCAAACATAACAAGAGGGTAGATTATAGCACTGAAAACCCCTGAGACGTGTACAATCACGGGGGCCTAGCAGAGAGCCGCCAAACACTACCAGCGGAAGGTACACAAAAGTACACCGTCTTCAGAGGCAACAGAAACCGGCCGCCGCTTAGGTGGCAGGCTGTGCAACACCTTGACACCTTAACCAGCACAATACCAATCCCTACCCAGGACCAAACAAGGGCCCCAAGCCCCAGCTGGCCCCAAGGGGGAGGCAAATGCCAAGCAGCAAGAACCTCTTTGGGAATGGTTCCCGAACGCCCCAGGGAAGATAACCCTGTTACGCAAGGGCAGTACTCACAGGGCGCTTAAGGAAGTCAGCCACTAAGCACATGCAGCCCCGGCACTAATGAGGTACTCCTGGTCACCGCACAACACAACACACGGCAGTGAACGCCACACAAGGCAAACATCGCCTAGGAAACTGAGGCCAGAGAAGAGTCAATCCCGGTTGACATTAGCGAACGAACTGAAGCTTGGCAGCCGGCGCGGTAGGTCCGGGGCTCCCCCCTCCCCCTCCCGGGGCGGGGAGGGATGCGCGGATGATCGGCGCGGCAGTAAAGTGTGATGTTTGCTTTTTTGCTTGTTTCCTTGTGATTGTAGGGAGTTTCTACCTCTCTGTTCGGTTTTTGTTTTATTTTTTTACCATGTGGGGTTTGTTTTGTTATGCCTACCTTTCTGGGTGCCTAACCCCAGTCGATGGCAGATAAGGAAAACCCAAACTACAAGGGGTTTTCCAGGGCCATTGCTCCCTGAAACCTCTCTGAAGGGGCCAGGTTCTGGCACTGGTCTCTGGTAGGTCTGAACTCCTTAGCTAATGTCCCGGTCTAATACAACATACATTAGCCCGATAAGCTCCAGGGAGCCTCCGGGGCTCACCCAGAAAATGGCGTTTCATTACATTCAACGCTGGTTTTTTGCAGCAATACAAATATCATGCATTATGATTCACAGGGAGTAATCACACTTAACGTGACTGCATCAGTGAGGGAAATCCGTAGGAGCAGTGATTAGGGTTCAAAATTATGCGGTGTATGTTCCCACTCACACGCTTCTATCAACTAGACCACGACATGGTATAAGGATTGCAACCTGGAATTTTACTGAACCCACAAGGATTTTCTGAGGCTTCTACTGATGCCGGAGCAAGATTTTTACACAATCTAGCCATGCACTCTGGCTCTGTCGTCTAGTACAGTACTTTTTCTACCTCTGATGCTCCTCTTTCAATACAGAGAGAGTAATCTCACTAGCATAACTGAGTGCATGGAGAAAATGTGTGAAATCCTGTTCTGGCTTCAGTAAAAGCCTCAGGAAATCCTTGTGGGTTCATTTGAACACCTGGTTGCAATCCTTATACCATGTTGTTAGTCTAGTCGCTAGAAGCGTGTGAGTGGGAACATACACCGCATAATTTTGAACCCTTATCGCTGCTCCTATGGATACATTATGATTATTGTATACTCTAATATCCTACAGAGGAAATTCTCATTTAAATATTATTTCTTTTATCCAGAGCCACGAGCGTCAAAACTCCCTCAAGTGCAATGTATGTGGCCAGGACTTCATCAACCACCAGCAACTAACAGTGCATCAGAGTCAACATCAGCAGTCATCCTTATCCGCATCACACAGATGCCATGTATGCAATAAATTATTTATCCAAGAAGCTCATTTATCTCGTCATCTTGCTACTCACTCACATTCAGCATTCCAACAGCAAAGCAGCAATCAATCCCTCCCTGCATCTCAGAACAAAGACTGCAGCAGGGACACCACAGCTAGTCAGATGAATCGGGGCTTGGTCACACTGAGGCAGGCAGATGCTGCTTGCTTCATATCCGAGAAAAAGCCATCATTGTTTCAACAAGCTCAGAGCTCTTCACAAATAACCACTAACCTTAGCCAACAAACATGTGGGGACAATTATCTTGGAGAAATGTCTCCGCCACAGCAACATGCACACCACTTACAGAGTGCTCAGCAGCTTCACACAGTAACAGTAGGACAGTCTCAACACCAAGAACACTTAATAAACACTAGAAATGATAACACTTCTCGCTCGTCCAGTTTACAGTCGCAAGTTTTTCTTTCGACTGTTTCATATGACCCAGAAATCTTGGGCGCTAGTTTACAAGAAGCTGCTTATCAACAGCCTCAAGGACAAGAGTAATTGTAGGCAAATGAATAAAAACATTTACTAGTCATTTAGCAGACTATTTTTGTATTCTTAATATACTGTACCAACAATTATTCTCAGGATGTACCAGAATGCTCTTCCTATGTTCTTTGTGGAATTGTAGGCAAGGTTACAAGCATACCATCAGTCATGTTGCCAAGGGTCCATATAAATCCACACATCCTTTGTGAAAATTAATTCCTGTATCATAAACCTGCTTGTGTACAGTGTTACATATTTTCAATTATATATATATATATATATATATATATATATATATATATATATATATATATATATATATATATATGTCGTACCTAGTAGCTAGAACGCACTTCTCAGCCTACTATGCAAGGCCCGATTTGCCTAATAAGCCAAGTTTTCATGAATTAATTGTTTTTCGACTACCTAACCTACCTAACCTAACCTAACCAAACTTTTTCGGCTACCTAACCTAACCTAACCTATAAAGATAGGTTAGGTTAGGTTCGGTCATATATCTACTTTAATTTTAACTCCAATAAAAAAAAATTGACCTCATACATAATGAAATGGGTAGCTTTATCATTTCATAAGAAAAAAATTAGAGAAAATATATTAATTCAGGAAAACTTGGCTTATTAGGCAAATCTGGCCTTGCATAGTAGGCTGAGAAGTGCGTTCTGGCTACTAGGTACGACATATATATATATATATATATATATATATATATATATATATATATATATGTCGTACCTAATAGCCAGAACGCACTTCTCAGCCTACTATTCAAGGCCCGATTTGCCTAATAAGCCTAGTTTTCATGAATTAATGTTTTTTCGTCTACCTAACCTACCTAACCTAACCTAACCTAGCTTTTTTTGGCTACCTAACCTAACCTTACCTATAAATATAGGTTAGGTTAGGTTAGGTAGGGTTGGTTAGGTTCGGTCATATATCTACATTAATTTTAACTCCAATAAAAAAAAATTGACCTCATACATAGAGAAAAGGGTTGCTTTATCATTTCATAAGAAAAAAATTATAGTAAATATATTAATTCAGGAAAACTTGGCTTATTAGGCAAATCGGGCCTTGAATAGTAGGCTGAGAAGTGAGTTCTGGCTACTAGGTACGACATATATATATATATATATATATATATATATATATATATATATATATATATATATATATATATATATATATATATATATATATATATATATATATATATACATATATATATACATATATATATATACATATATATATACATATACATATACATATACATATACATACAGTGGCACCTCGACTTACGATTGCCCCTACTTACGATAATTTCGAGTTACGATGTAAATTTCATCGAAAAATGCGACTCGACATCCGATGGTGTCGTCGACTTCCAATATTTGTTGGTACACGTTCGGGTTGACCGAGCGTGTGGTTCCCAGTCATGCGGTCCAACCTGCCTCAGTTTACTACAGCTGCCCGCTTAGTGACGATCGCGCCTATAAGAAATTCTGCGTTTGTGGTGATTTTTTGCATTTTGAAGATTTAAGTAATTGTTATATATCACGCCATGAGTCCCAGGAAAGTCAATGGTAAGACTCGACATATGAAAACCCATGTAAGGATGACCATAGAGCAGAAACAAGAGTACAGAATGTCTCTTCCTCAACAATTAAGAAAATGTGTGCAGCATGGGAAGAACTGCAAACCTTTGCTGAAACGACTCACCCAAATCAAGCTGCAGTAGGTCGTTGCCTTAACCTATTCAATGACACTGTGATGCATCATTACAGACAAATGGTAAAACGAATGGAAAAACAAATGTCTCTTGGCAAATTTGTAGTGAGACAAACAAGCACTGAACCACAACCAGGTCCTAGTGGTATTCAGGCAAAACGTAGGAGAGAGTACCCCAGAGAAAACATCACTGCCTGATGTGATAATGGAAGGGGACTTCCCTTCCAAACAGGAACAACTCACTTCCTCCCCCCTCATCACCATCTTCCATACACCATCAAGAGCCCTCCATAAAGGTAAGAGAAACTTTGGTACTGTATTGTAGTTAGAAAAAAAACATTGTATTCAGTATAAAATGTATTTGTATGTTAATATTTTGGAGGGTGGGGAACGGATTAATTCAATTCCCTTTATTTCTTACGGGAAAAATCGCTTCAACTTACAATATTTCGACTTACGATCCATCTCTGGGAACGGATTAGCATCGTAAGTTGAGGCCCCATTGAGGCCCAGGTGTTCGCACACCCAGACACAAATTAGTACTCTGACAGCTCCACCACGCAGATCCTTAACCCCTAAGCTTCTCCAGGTTATTTGGCCTTTGTCACCCACAGGCGTAAAATAAAATAAAAAAAAAATTTCTTTTAAATCTGTTAATTTGTCTTCCCTGATCATGGGAAAATAATAAAAATATCGTAAGTGGCATATTTTGGCCACAATGGGGTGGGGACGTCTGGCCAAAAAAAGAGGTGCTGACTCGGCAAGCGTTGGAAGCAGACTGCTTCGCCCCCGTCGGAAGCGGTCTGCTTCACCCCAGTTGTCAGGCGGGAGTTGCCACAAAGATATAATTACCTAATTATTTTGATGTCTCTGATTTTTTTCTTTGTTTTTTGCTGTAATATCATTGAATAGTGTGTAGTGTGATATATTTATATAATAAAATGTGTGAATCATCATTGTACTCAAAATTATGGTGTGCATATTATTGATTCAATTATTATGTTCATAAAACAATAAAGAAATACTTTGTCGGTTATTACACTATATACACAGGATATATATAAGTATCTGCATGTTTTATTCACCATAACGAACCACTCAGATGATATTGCGAGTCAAAAAGCAATGAGGAGTGGCCACCACATCTACCAGCCAGCGTCTTGTTGCCACTCCCTCCCTCAAAAACTCCTCACTCGCCAACATCTTCCTCCCATCATACTGTTTTTGCTTTTATTTACTATATACAGACTTTATATATAAGTATCTACATGTTCTGTTCACCATAACTGTTCATCTAAGCTGGTATAGTGCACAAAGAGCATAATGGCCACCCTTACACAGTATGACTAATCAGGAAGAAGATGCCACCTCCCTCACCAAAATGGCTTCTCCCAACACTCCTTTTGCTGTTATTACACTATATATATACACATTATATATAAGTATATTCATTTGTGTTTATGATAGCGAACCACTAAATCTTGTATGGTGATGGCAGACAGTAACAGGTGGCCACACACAACTGATGCTCCCTCCCTCACTGGTTCAAGGCTAAACGCACTAACATTCTTCCTTCAAGTATACTGTTTGTGGTGCTATTACCCTATATACACACATTATATATAAGTATCTACATGTTTTGTTCACCATAACTGTTCAACTAAACCGGTATAGTGCCCAAAGAGCATAATGGCCACTCTTACCCAGCATGACAAGTCATGCTGATGTTGCCACCTCCCTCACCAAAATGGCTTCTCCTAACACTCCTTTTGCTGTTATTACACTATATATATATACACGCTGTATATGAGTATCTACATTTGTGTTTACAATAATATACCTACCTACCATAACTATAAACATCAGAGGTCCACGGTTGTTTAACACCCTCCCAGCGAGCATAAGAAATATTGCCGGAACAACCGTAGACATCTTCAAGAGGAACTAGATTGTTTCCTCGAAGGAGTGCCGGACCAACTGGGCTGTGGTGGGTATGTGGGCCTGCGGGTCGCTCTAAGCAACAGCCTAGTGGACCAAACTCGCACAAGTTAAGCCTGGCCTCGAGCCGGGTTTGGGGAGTAGAACTCCCAGAACCCCATCAACCAGGTACTGTATAACTACTAAGTTAGTATGCTGAGTCAAACAGCAGCAAGTAGTGACCACCACACACCAGCCAGCCCTCCACTGGCTGCCACTCCTTCCCTCCCTCACCTCACCTGACTCACCCATATTCTCCTCCCACCATACATTTTTTGCTTTTATTCAGTATACAGATGTCATAAGTATCTGCATGTTTTATTCACCATAGCGAACAACTAAGCTGGTATAGTGAGTCCAGACAGTAAAAGGTGGTCACACAGAGTCAGCAGACAATGCTACCTCCCTCCCCACCAAGATTACTCCTCTCACTACAGCGCTAATTATCACAACAATCTTGCTATTATCAGAATCCTGGTAATTTTTTATCACAGTCAAGGGTCTTCTGTAATACTATCATTGCTAAATAATAGCATGTACAAATATATTTTGACATTTTTAGGTGATGCTGTGGTCACAAGCTGAACAGCAGTGCTGTGAGCTGATGCTGCGTGCGCCAGCCTTGGTGGCTCACTCAGTACTGAGGCGCTCACACCCGAGAATGTTGCCCACAATTATTTTAAACTGCACAACACGTCATATGATGTGTTGAGTAACTTGCTATAAATTGCACATCACGTCATATCCCTGGAAACACGAACTGAAACTGTCTCTTTTCCGCTTGTTACAACTTGTAATAAAGTTGTTACATCTTGGCTTAACGTGTTTATGACATATTAGAACATTGTTACAACTTGCTATATTGGTTGTTATAACTGGTTAGGAGGTGTTAAAACTTGTTCGAACGTTGTACCAACGTCGTAGTTTCGGTGTGCGTTTGGCGGCAAGATTTAACCACACACCCCCGGATACACGGGGCTCACCTCACCTTCATCAGGGCTCTTGTAAAGAGACGGCATTTTTAAACAAAATCGTTAGCCACATTCCCGGGTGTGAGGTCCTCAGTACTGAGTGAGCCACCAAGGCTGGCGCACGTAGCATGAGCTCACAGCACTGCTGTTCAGCTTGTGACCACAGCATTGCTTAAAAATGCCATAATATATATGTACATGTTATTATTTAGCAATGATAGTATTACAGAAGACCCCTTGACTGTGATAAAAATGACCAGGATTCTGATAATAGCAGGATTATTGTTATAATTAGCGCTGTAGTGGGAGGAGTAATCTTGGTTGGGAGGGAGGTAGTGTTGTCTGCTGACTGTGTGTGAGC